TGTATCTAACACACACTGTAAATGTATCTAAAACACACTGTATCTGTATATCTGTATGTTTGAGGCTATCTTTTGCAATATTCCGAAATCCAATGTAACAATTGCATTATTTTTTGTCTAGGGAGCCCTCTCCTCTGTGTTGAACTGACCTAACCCGCTCACCTGCTCCACAATAGAGGCAGGGATTGCAGGCAGTTATCAAATCTATGTGTTACAAATATGTCTCCTTTAAAACAGTGTCTCAATCTCGAGTAAAGCTGCTCCAGAGCCACTATTTCAAGCATACTACGTCATCGAGTGCCGCCGAAGGACTGTTCCAATGTCCACCATACTTTAATTTTTCCGAGTCCGGCGTACTTCGTTTGGAGAAATTTCAAGGCTGCACATGTGTAGACTCCGCGGTCTTAAAATCCCTACAATACGGACCAATTTCCCCAAATCTGTGGCGAAAAATTTAAGGCGGGGCCTCTCATATAACGCACACCTGCACACTTGCTAGCCTGTTCCACTCTTCGTTTTCTGAATGGCAGGAGGTATTCTTGCCTCGCTTCTGAAGCAAGTGACTCGGAAGACATGTGCTACCAAGCAAGCGTACTCTACATTGAGAAACACCCAGTTACTGGTCAGTTAGCAAGGTAGTTAGCCTGGAAAGCAATTGTGACTTATATTAGCCTATTCCCGCCTAACAAGAACACCAATGATAAACACCTGTAGCATTAATCCTAGCCCTTCTGGTTTTGACTACATCATCAAGATTTTCACATTTCTGTATTTCACAGGTATAATGAATAAAATGCACTGTCTCAGTTTTCCGCCGACCTTAACCAGGAGTTTGAACATTCTGTAGGACAGCAGGTGTCTCTATTTAAGTTATTTAAAAACGAGTCAGTACAACAAGAAATATTATAAAAAGTGTTTAAAAAAAAAGATTCAAACACTGGCATTCTCCACTACTTGAACAATAAAACAGAACTGTTCGTCCTCAACTGCTGAAGTAACTAAGTCAGTAAATAAATGTCAGACATGGTGATGCTAAGTAGTCAAATACATAATTGTAATACTGATGATTGGACCTTATTAGGGCCCAATGGAAAACTTAGATAAAATGGTAATTCAAATGTCACGACTGTATTTACACTGTTGCTGGTTAGAATCTGTACATGCTGCAGTGCTGTGCAGGAAAGCCACAGCTGAGAGAGAAAAGGCAGCCCTTGGCAGCAAATGGTTCCCAGGTTAGGCCGTTATTACCTGAAATAAGACAACCAGCAGCTAAATGGGTTCCATGGTCAGCACTGCCAACTAAGAGTTCCCACATGAGGCTCAGCAGAAATGTCATCAATACATTCTCCATTAGCTAATAATGTCAATAAGTATGCATGATGTGTACAATTCAAATAAAAGGAAACCAAAAGTTCCAATAACGGTGGTAGGAATAAATCCTTAAAGTAAGTTTGCAGGTGTGAAAAATCCCTGTGTGCATTTGTAATTTTAATATAGAAAATGTTTGAGTTAGAGATCGGTTGACAGAATGTTACTGGTGTTTCCTTTGTTGTGTAAGTGCCAGCTGGTTGCTCTCCAGTGTCAGTCAATGAGAATAACAAGTGGACCTTTGTCATGTGTTGTGGTTCTTGTAATATAGAGCATTGGTATGAGAAGTGAAGATGAAACATAAAGACTGCTGGATTTACAGAAATGTGTGATATGTATGCAGCTGATCAAATACAAATACTTATGAGATTTAAATTTTTCTTGAATGCACTGTTAAATATTTTTAGAATCTCAGAAAAGTAATAACATCTATGGTAACGTCTTGTATTACGCCAGAATAATCATTACCTCTTAATGAAAACCATAACAAAATGCATTTCTTCTCTAATATACATTATCTAAACCAATGCAATGGTTTATATCGTGCAGTGTGCATGCTGTCATTTCCATCTATCCACCACTGACCAGGGTAATGGTAGCAGTAGGATCATTTAGGTCTCATCCATGTCGTCCAATTCCTCCAGAGGGCTGCCCCAACCACCTCCATGGAGTCATTTCAATGTGAGGGAACAGCAGCTCTACGCCAAGCTCCCTTATGATGCCTGAGGCCTGCACCCAATGTCCAAATGGTAAATGGACTGCATGTATCTAGTGCTAGCAACTATCTACCTACTGAGACACAGCCCCCCCGAGTGGGCACGTCCACCTTCCAATGAACATTCACCTCACTCACTTTTTTTGTTATTGTAAACAATGCTATTATTTTTCAAACCTCATGACCATAGGTGAGCATTGGAGAGCAACCAATACACTGAGGACCTTTTTCTGTTCTGCAACCTACCCTCACTTGTGAACAAAACTCCAAGATATATAAACCATTAGTCATACTCCTTCTGTAAGTCCACTAAGAAATTCTACTCCAATGAACCCACGGTTTCCTGACTAAAAGTGTGGAGCAGTTTCAAGGAAAGAGCTGCATGCCATGGAGAGACCTCAGTGCACCGTCAATCTGAGGCTGTGTTTCTTGTCCAATGATGACAACAGTCCAAACACATTTACAATATTATCTTGGCATTTAAATGGTAATATATCAGAATCAAATTATCTATTGTGCTAGCTCCACGGTTACACAAATCGTTTTTGTCCTCCATTTTGAATGTATAGGTGTAAATGTTGGGTAAGCAGTTTGTTTCAGTCTTCTTCTTTAACCCTCCTATTGTCTTCGTTTCCCCCCTTTACTTTGGTGTTCGCGGTCAAATTTGACCGGTCCTGTTTTAACTGCTATTACATTAACACAAAAACCATTAATCATCACCACATTTCATTTAACACCCTTTCAAACTGTAAATATTGTATCAGACTATTGTTATACATGAACAACTGCAGTAAATATACAAGGAACAGACAATGAACATGTATTGCGTGTGCCAGGTGTGATCCATGTGGGGGGATGGGCACATAAGACCGGGAAATGTAGTGTCAAATTAGTTCTGTGTGTGTGTGTGTGGTGTGTTGTTTTTGCGGTTGGGTGATGTACTTGCTTGTTATGAGGAGAGAGTGGGTGGAATGTGTTTTGGGGGGGGGGAGGGCAGAGAGATTAGCCTGCTGTTTTAGACGGGCGAAATGATGAAAGTAGTTTAGTATTGGAAAATCAAAATGAAGCGAACGGATTTCTCGAATATATACTGTAGTGATATATGTGGCGCTATCTGTGTAAACTGATATTAGGTCGACGGAGGGTGTTATATTAGTACTGAAACCGTTATGTTTTTTGTGGTCGGTAGTCTGTTAGTGGTGTAACCACAAGGGTCGTGTGATGTTGATTGGTAGCTTGTCTGATCCTTATGTTTGCGCTAGGAGTGTGTGTGGGTTGTGTGTGTGTGTGTGTGTGTGTGTGTGTGTGTTGTGGTGGTGTGTCAGTGTGGTGTGTGTGTGTGTGTGTGTGTGTGTGTGTTGTGTGGTGTTATGAAGATCGTACACAAGGGGTGGAATACACGGTTAGGGGGGTACACTTAGTGTAGGACCGGTCGAGGGTTTGTGTGTGTGTGATCTGATCTGGATGGTTACTAATTCCTTTTCTTTATGGCGGTCATTTTTGACTGGGAACACCATGGGTGTTACAAAGTTGACTAAATCATGCAAAGTTCAATGAAAGTGGTGATCAGCAATTTATATGTTCAAATGTCTACTGTGAAGGATATCATAAAGCCTTAATGCAATCGAATGTAAAACTAAAAAGTTATGATTGATGAAAGTAGTAAATCGGTCAGATTTGACCCGAAGACAACAGGAAAGCGTTAGGTTAAGTGTATATTGCTTCAATTAAACGTATTGTTGTTTTTTTACCCCCAGAATCAGGGATTTAACACCTATAGATGTGAACATAGTCTCAACATATTAATCAAAGAACTAAACTCAAATGTAGCTTTAAATTGTACATTTAAATTGTAGGAAAAAAATCAAACGAATAGCCAAAGTGACAACCATTACATCATTGAACAGGTGGAGTGGGAAATTCGATTAAGGTCATTTCACAGTTGCCAGCATTATGCATGCAAATCTTTCAGAAACCACCTACTTCTTATATTACAATAAAACAAATTATATCTCCATGATCCCCATTCCACATCATTGACTGTGCAGGGGGAGCAGGGAGAGTAATCACAGTATCTGGAGGCAGCAATAGAGGCGCTGATGGTCAGATTTAATGTGTCTTTAATGGTTTCTTTCTTTCCCATCGCTCCACATGTTAACAACACACTGTTCACCGCGCTGAATGTGTTTATTACTGAACACATTTCACAGATCTTTACTGGTGGCAGGGCCTGTCTGATTAAGTCATGGCCATTAGCATCATCACCATTAGGCTCCTGATGGCACAGCGAGTCAGCCTCGGACGTTTACGACACCCATGGGACACTGTGTCTGTGTGTGTGTGTGTGTGTGTGTGTGTGTGTGTGTGTGTGTGTGTGTGTGTCTGTGTGTGTGTTGTGGGAACCAAAGGCTGAAAGCAGTAGTGATGAATTAGCCGTTCAGATACAAACACAGCTGCATGGAGATAATGGATAATTCAGGGCAAAATACCTTATATTATTGGAAATGACATAAGCTGAATTTAAGAGTGCCGGAATACAGCTGAAACAAAATATGTTTGACATACTGGAACCAAATTCAGTTTGGATGTAAGAGCCGGCCTGTAGGCTTTACTTTGTGTAAACTACAGGTTAACGATCAATAGCCTTTTATTCAATCAGAATCCAGCTGCAGGCACTGGTGTATAAAGAGAACTGGATACAGCGTTGGAGGCGGGACCTCGTTCATTCCTATGACGATTGCTCAGTGGCGCATGAAACCAAAATGACCTGACTCTCCAGAGCAAAAACGCCCTGGTCCTCCCAGGATCCTCTGGCAGTCTTTCACATCCATGCAGACCATAAAGCAGGTGCGTTTACATTTGACCAAACGCCGCCTCCCTGCCAATACATAACTGCAGCGTCACAGCCGGTCTTGGCTCAGACAAATGTATGGAGAGGGAATATAACTGTGCAGCAAATTGAAAGGGGTAGACTTGTACAAATGTTATACATGTTTGTTGTTTCACCTCACAGGGAGAAACAGTTCTGAGAGCTAGAGATGTGATATCAAAGGTCCTGGTCCCACTTTAAAGACAAGGAAGTTGTATTACCAGGTTTGGGGAATAGCAGATTACGTGTTACGAGATGATGTAATCATACAAAAAAACAGTGACCGTATTCCGTTACAGTTGTAATAAAGAAAGATCTAATCAGATTACTGGTATATTTTTTTATAAATGGGGATTACTGACAGGACCCTCCGACCCTATGTATCAGCATAGTCCTCACGAGCCAAAAGAATACCAGAAATGCTGTCTGAGGTTTTCCTCCAATCCTACAGCAACACTTGATCCTTTGTCATTGTTTTTCTTCTGTGTATTGATCTTAAATCCCAGCCTGATCTGAAGCTGAGTGTCAGCTTGCAGACCTGTGTTGGTGCGATCGTACTGCGAGGCCTCGGTCAGGGACTGAATGTAAATGTGGGATGACAGCCGTGCAAATACCAACAGGCTGGAATGTTCTGGAATGGTGTGTGTCTACACAGCAGATGTTTGACCGAAGAACATGGCACTTCTCTGAGCAGGTTGAGAGAGCAGGTGGAGAATGTGCATGTGTTTTTAGTTTTGAAGAGCATGCTCTGCTGCAGGGAGCAGGTTCCCTCACCTGGGGTTCATCACCAGCCGCCTGAAGAAGTAGGTCCAGGTGATGTAGTCCATGGCGTCCTGTTTGGAGGAGATGGTTCCTGCAGCCACCTCCGCATTCAGATGGTCTGGCAGCACACTGAGGAGGCTGGGGGGGGAAGGGATGGGGTGGTGTGGGGGGCACAGTCACACACTGATCACTTACAATCCACAGAGTGAATTATTAACCTGTCAAGATGTAATTTGAACTTTTTTTTATACAGAAATACATCTGTTACAGTAATTACACTGAACAAAAATATAAATGCAACACTTTTGTTTTTGCTCCCATTTTTCATGAGATGAACTCAAAGATCTAAAACATTTTCTATATACACAAAATAACCATTTCTCTCAAATATTGTTATAGGTAACCCTAACATGTCATCCATCTCCTTCGCATAGAGTTGATCAGGTTGTTGATTGTGGCCTGTGGAATGTTGGTCCACTCCTCTTCAATGGCTGTGCGAAGTTGCTGGATATTGGCAGGAACTGGAACACGCTGTCGTATACACCGATCCAGAGCATCCCAAACATGCTCAATGGGTGAAATGTTAGGGTTAGGGTTAGGGTTTAACCCTAGGGTTTTCGGACGCCCCCGGACCCCCCCAATAAAGCAAAACTGCACGTTTCAGAGTGGCCTTTTATTGTGGCCAGCCTAAGGCACACCTGTGCAATAATCATGCTCTCTAATCAGCATCTGATATGGCACACCTGTGAGGTGGGATGGATTCATCTCGGCAAAAGGAGAAGTGCTTACCTATCAACAGATTTTTTCCAGATTTGTGTGAACAATATTTGAGAGAAATGGTTATTTTGTGTATATAGAAAATGTTTTAGAATCTTGAGTTCATCTCATGAAAAATGGGAGCAAAAAACAAAAGTGTTGCATTTATATTTTTTGTGTCAGATGATAGATTCATCATGGTGGATTGATGATAAAGAAAGCTAATTAATTATGCTAACAATTCAGGATTCATAGATAAAACTTTAATATAGATCATTTTTATAACAAATCAAAACAACATATACTTTTCATAATCGCTCACAAATCAACTCCAGAGAGATATTACCAGGATGCTTACAGTGAGTATTCTTGCTGGCCTTTTCCTTGTCTTAAATATTGAAATAGAATATCTAGGAGTTTTTGGATCTGCAACGTACTGTATCGCTATTTGGTCAAGAGATTGTATATATTGTGTTATACAACACAACACTAGTTCCGAAAGAGAGATAACAGTTAGAATTGCACTCACTGTGGTCATATTATCAATATTACTACTGGAATAGTATGGCAAGGCCAGGACGCAAAATGAACATAGAAGCCTGGAGATAGTATTTGTGGATTGCACTTGTATATAAGATCTCTAAGGTAACATCCATATGATTACAAGTTGGGTCAGCAAACATAGTATGTACTTTAATATTCCACATCCATTATGATAGATATACTACACAGAATGCCTCCATGATGATATCAATTTATCTTAGGAACAACTTTGTGAGATGATATAAATTTGTTGGCATCCTCTTGTTATATCGAGTTGAAAGACAAGATACGTAAAGAATATTTCATAGATAAAATAGGCACAAAATACCATTTCTCCAGATATCTGTTTCACAAATCTGAAAAAACTGTGACCCGCAACCCCCTTCTAACATATATATCTAAGGACAGTATAATATTATCTCCTATCACTATCATCACAAAGGGAATAGTGGGAAAAGCACAACGCATGGATGTTAGAGAGCATGTATATTCCTCCTAACTATGGTGTGTGCCTGAGGTCACGGGCCTCTAAATTAAATTGTCATTTCCTGAGACACGCGCTGCGGCATTTTTGTCTTATTATTCTATGGGTGTGTGAGACAGAGAGCAGTCCCGACATACCGTACACATATCAGAATCAGAAGACCCTGAGCACATACTTCACCCAGCATTATGTGACCTGGTTTATTGGGAGTGACTTGGATCTAGGTGTATACGAACAACGCGGTTCAAGGTGTACTGCGCAATATCTTATCAACATGACCAAATCTATCCGCACCTATGTCTCCAGTAAGAGAGAGTGTGGACCGAACACTCGCACATCATGCTTTACGCTTATAATTCAATACTAAGACCATGATCAACGCTCTCCGGCTGGACCACCATGTTCACCGCGGCCTATAAAATATTTGAGAGGAAAGTTATCCTCTTGTGTATATAGAAACCCGCTTTTCCAGATCCTCGAGTTATCTCATGAAAAATGGGAGCAAAAACAACGCGCCGCATCTCCCAGTCGCGCTCTCACCGCACCTGTAGGACAGGTACCCTGATACCTTGCGTTAAAAAAAAGTTCAAATCCTACATCATCTGAAGTGGGTTTAGGATAATTTCCTCAGATACTGCTGGATCTTGGTCAACCGATAGAATCAAGTGCTGAGCATGATAGAAGTACCTCCTGAAGCGATCTCCACGTCTCCCACTCGCTCTCATCTACACACTTATGTCGATACTTGCCAGATGGTACAGATGCTCAGAATTGATCAGCGTGTGAAGGCGCAGGACCCCTCCTACACCAAATGGCAGCCATACCATGGACTACAAGTCACCTGGCTCAGAGATCTTATATCGTATGCGATGCGGCTGAGGTTGAGAAAAACCTCAGCAACAGGAACCTACCAATGCACCAGAGAACCACTCTTTCAAGAATACATACATGAGAACAACCACCATCGCTCTCACGGCAGCCTGAGAGGCCTCTCTCCCAGGGCTGCGAGCTAAGGAGAGAGTGAACATTGTTCTTCTTTGTCTGGATACAATACATCTTGCTGCGTGTAATGCGAGATGTCACGCGACCCTGTCCAGAACATGCGAATGCCTGAGACATATGCTTGTTGCACTGCGGGCTACATCTCCACACACACCTGAGTATCCAGGGCCTGCACTCTCGACCGCGCGATGGCCCGCCACTCGCGCAGTCTGCTAAGAGCAATCGCACACGCACACACACTACAACCATCTGTATGCGCTACCGAGTTCTCGTACATACACGCGCGCCAGCCTCTACTCACTCTAGAGAGTTTTAGCAGGCTTTCACATGGTGCACACCAGACCCCCAACGCAGTTTGTACATTGTTTCATTTTTCAGAAGTTTTACGGTTTGCGTTCAGCCAGGGCAAAAACTCAAACGGACTATAAACTTTAAACACAAGTCATGTGCTTGGAATGCTGTTCAACAATTGGTCAGCATTAAAGGGGGTAACAAGGCGCAATCCCTGGCAATTTCTAAACAGAGCCTCCGGCCATGGAGCATCGGCACTTTCGGCAGGCGTTATTCTCATGCTGCTGTTAATCCTGGAGATCAACAGACACTAGGCGGCCCGGCCCGCATATGATTAATACTAATCACCACCACCGCCCGCGTCCCGTCCAAAAAACATTAAAACACATAATGAGGACGTTCTGGAGTAAGGAGGGCCGTTCACCCGACGACATGTGTTCTTAGCTTTTAATGTTATGCTGACGGAGAATTCTTAGCTTTAGCACAGACACTGTTCAACACTTCATTCTGCTTCAGCAACACACCCGCGATGTCTTGAGAGAGAGAGAAAGTGAAAAAGGATCACATGTGGTTTGCCGCGTGTATCGGGCTAAAGGAGAAATACCTCTTAGGAACAGTAGGTAATCGGCTGTTCTTGTTTGTGATCGACCTCACACACAGTGAGGATATGCTCGAACCCATCCAGATCGTGAGGGTCTGTCATGTAAATGTGCCGCGCACTTTGAGCGATTCACACCACAGTACAATACCTAGATAATCCCTGATTAGATCTTTGCTATTCACACTGTATACGGGCAGGCAATACACTGTTTTTTTGCAGTGCATTTACCCAGACCATCATCTACGTAATCGTCTTATATTGCGCCGCAAACCTTGGTAATAGTCGATATTCATTCGCTGTCTCTTATCTAATAAGTAGGGGACTCAGGACCTTTGATATCACATTCTATGCTCTCCAGAAACTTGGTTTTTCACTCCACCCTGTGAGAGGCCTGCAACAATCGATATATCTCGTAGCACCTAAGACAGCAACCCCTGAATCAGACACGCACACGTGCGAGTGCGATGTACAAATTGTATATCCGGCACATCACCATAAGGCAGGTGTTTGTCTGAGAAGACGCCACATGTACTGCGCGTGTGAGCGGGCTGACAGATAAGATGAAGTTATATGGCAGCCGGGAGCGCCCGTTGTGGTGTTCCCAACATATTCTAGGGCGCTTGAAACCTCGCAAATGAGTCAGCATGAGGAAGTGTGTATAAACGCATTGTCGAGACGAGATGTGGTTATCACTTGAGGTCGCATGAGCGTTATTTGTACACACTGGAAGTCAGTGTATCACCATTTGGTTTATCATGCGCCAACTGAGCAATCCGTACAGGACGAGGTATGAGACAGTTTTCTCTCTGCCTAATCTGCGCGGAGAGAGTAAGTGCGCAATTCTTTACTTTTATCACTTATATTGTCACACAGCTTGGCCATGCAGAGGGATATGACTAAACTACTAGCATATAACCTGTAGATATACACAAGTAACAAGTCGCATAAGACAGATGTCTCTGTGCTACATTTTAATCTGTACATAGCATTACAACAAAGCAGTTTGAGTATTCCTATAGTATGTCAACTGATTAATTCGAGTGTATGAACTGATCTACCGGCATACCCCACTCCTTAATTCAGGAACTTGATGGGTGCGAGAGAGAAGGGTATATTCCACATCAGACAGTCCTGTTTGTCTGCTCCCACTATCGCAGAACTGTGATTTTTGTATCGCTGGATACCGGTTCTTCTTGATTGAGCCACCTACAAACGATGTTGCAGCCTTGTATTGGTTCCCACAACATCACACACAGACACACACACACCAAGAGCGCACAAGTCCAACCACAACCACGCGCGCCCGCACACAGTTCCCAGCTGGTGGTCCGCAGATACAGTCCGAGGCTAATTGAAGGATGATCGAGAGAGAGAATGGATATGGCGCATGACTTAATCAGACAGGCACTGCACCAGTAAAAGATCTGTGAATGTGTTCAGTAATAAACACATTCAAGCGCGATGACAGCGCAGAGCATATAGATGAGCTATGTCAGCAGATGTGGAAGATAGGACACATAGATCAATTATCTGCCCAATAGACAGCAGTCCAATCATGCACATACGCCACGAGAAATGCTGGTGATTTTACAACATATAACCACGTGCGAGAGTCTAATAAGATAGAATGTGTGGAATAGGAGAGATATTCCAAACTTTTGTATGGAAGAGACGTTAATAATTGGGATAAAGAAAGAAGAGGGGAATGTGTTTACTACTGAGAGATTTGCGACTATGGCAGTTAATGGCTGCATGCTGTGAGAGAAATGACCTTAAATCGAATTTGCCGCCACTAATCGCGCAAATCAATATGTATATACATCGCCTTGTAATCGCCGCATGTCCTTCTTATGTTGTGTAGTAACAGTCTGCATTAAGGCCTCCCATCGTCCCCCGCGCCGCGCGCGCGCCTCTCGCGGCACCACGAGCAAATCTTTGTGTGTATGAATTGATGCATTTTTTTACGCAGCATTTCCTTATATAACACCCATAATCAAAAATAGTAAAATGGGCTGATGCATGGGCCTGATGTGTGAAGGGATTTGTAGTAGATTAGTGCAGTTAGTGACGATGGAGCCTACTGTTCACATCTATAGGTGATTAAATCGCCTGATTCTGGGGGTAAAAAACAAACAATACGTTTAATATTGAAGCTAATAAACAGCATATGTTCTACATAACAGCTTGAGAGGTACGACTGTGGGTTGTGTCTCGTTACAGGTTGTCGGTTCGGAGTGTAGAGAGTCTCGCGATTTACTGTATTCATCAACATTCAGAATACTTTGGTATGTTGTATCGAGTTGAGAGTAAGCAGGGTGAGTGCCGCGCGCATGAATGCGTGTACATGCACTAAGTGCACGCTGATTGGCGGTTAGGTACGTTTTGGAGAGAGCGATTATAAAGTCCGTGATTGGAGGTGCTTAGTATAGATGTCAGCCCGCAACTTTCCTATGAACTGGTTTGCATGAGTGGTGTGTAGGTAGCAGTGGGTTGATGGCCGAGAGAGGTAGTCCCAGTGTAGTGGGCTCCGCGCACGCCATCCGCATAGGAGGAGAGAGACAGGTGATATGCGAAAGCAGATGAGAATGTAGGAGAGAGAGCTCGCCTAGAGTATAAGATCTATCACACACCACGCTAGCACTCGCACGAACCGCGCAACGCATCACAGCACACAGCTACCACACACAGCAGCACACCAGTGCAACGAGCACGCACTCGAGCCAGCACACACGCATCGCGAGCGCAGTGACTGGAGCGTGTCACGCTAAGCACGCACACATAGGACGCCGACACCGCACACACACCCAGTCCAAAGCGACACAGCGCGCGATCACAGATACTCAAGGAGGGTTGGTGCCGCACGAGGCGCACCCATGTAATGGGGTGTCGCCATAAGTATATGCCGCCGCTCGCATGTGTAGTCGCGACAGACGCACGCGTATGGGCAAGCTCGCAAACCTAAGGCTGCGCGCACAAGTGCGCACAGCTACAAACGCGAACAGCGCCATCAGTCACCACAACGCGAGAGAGCGAGATTGAGTGTTGTGATACAGCAGTGATGGAGGTTGTTGTACAGTGGAGATGGAGGTGTGTGTACAGCAGTGATGAGGTGTGTGTACACGGAAGTGATTGGAGGTGTGTCTACAGTACGGGGCCTAACATGGAACTATGCAAGTTTGAGCGAACAAGCTGCCTCCAACGGTCCAAAGGTGTGGTACAATAGTACGGTGGGGGGTGTTGTACCAGTAAGCTGGATTGGAGGTCATGGTAACGTGCTGATGGAGGTTGTGTTGTACCAGTGGTGTGGAGTGTGTGGTACAGTGGTGATGGAGGTTGTGTACAGCAGTGTGGCATGGTAAAGTGGTGATGGAGGTGTGTGTATCAGGGCAGTGATGGAGGTGGGCGTGTAGCAGCAGTGATGGAGGATGTGTGTACAGTGGGTGATGGGAGGTGGTGTACAGCAGTGATGGGGGTGTGTGGTAGCAGGCAGTGAGGAGGTGCGGTACAGTAGTTGATGGAGGTGCGTGTACAAGCAGTCGATGGGAGGTGTGTGTTAAGCAGCGAGTGATGGAACGGTGTTGTATACAGTGGTGAGTGGAGGTGTGTGTTACCAGTGGTGATGGAGGTGTTTGTACATCGTGGTCGATGGAGGTGTGCTGTAGCAGGGCAGTGATGGGGGCCCATGGTGTAGCATGGTGATGGAGGTGGTGTACAGCAGTGATATGGGGCATGTGTAACAGTGGTGATGGAGGTTGTGTGGTACAGTGGTGATCGGAGGTGTGTGTACACCCCAGTGATTGGGGGGGTGTGTGTACAGCAGCGATTGGAGGTGCGCGTGGTAGGCAGTAGTGAGAGGGCGTGTAGCA